GCGGTTCGGGTTTTAGGACGGTTTCGGTTTCGGTTTATGACCCCGCTGCATCTATGCGGTTTGAGGAAAATCAACCCGCAACCGCCCGCAATGCGTGTTTGCGGTTTGTTGCGGATAGGGTTCGCGGGTGTTGCGAGCGGTGCGGCGGTTTTGCGGGTTGAACTTTTTTTCCAAAAATAATTATTTTAAACCTTTTTTTTCTCCATTTTGTCAATCTTATATTTGAACTTTTTTCTCATAATTTTCTAAAAATACTTCCAACATTAATAATTAATTGAACTTAAAACTTATAAAAAAAAACTATAAAAAAAAAACACAACAATTCAATTCATAACCTAAACAAAATCATTTCAAATTCTACATATCATCATTAACTTGCATTCACCATCCTTACATTCATCATTCATAATCCCAAAATTAAAAAAATCCTACATAAAAATTAAACCATTCATCCTTCCTAAACCCCAAAAAAAAAAAGAAAAAAAGAATAATTCCTTCATTAGGCTTACATTCATCCAAAAATGCCACAAAAAAAAAAAAATGCATTTAAGTTGACATTCATATCCAAAAACCAAAAGCAATTAAAAAAAAAAAATTGTTAAACTTAAACTTCTATTCAATACAAACCCACGAAATAAAATTTGAACACACTATCTAAATATCAAACTTCATCTTCATGAATCATATCCAATTCAACTTTAACAAATTCCAATTTCCATGCATTTGGTTGATGAACCCTACACAAACAAATTGAAAAAATATAAACTTAATCTTCAATTATAAATAGTAAGAACTTGAAAAAATAAACAAATGTCTTATATATTGGAAGTACCACACAAATATTGGAAGTACCACACAAATAATTTCAGTATAAATCTTCATTCACTCGTAAAGTTTTTCATTATTTGTTGGAAGTACCACACAAATAATATCACATGATATTTTGATATCTTTATTTTATGAAATTATTCATTTGATATTAGGAACATTTCATTTTTATTTATTTTTTTCGTTCATGCATTTGGAAGCATTCTCAAATAATTATTATTTCAAGAGAAAAAAGCTTCGAAAATTTAAAAAACAAATGACAATGCCTATCCTAATGCAAAGACATCAATTCCCAAAGGTAGTGTTCGTCTCTAGAATGAGTGGAATGGAATGATCATTCCATCAAATACTTCATCAGAATATTGATTCTATCCAAGAAATTGACAAAAAGTACAAGGAAAAAAAAATTCTGAATTAATCAAAAATCTGAACACAAAAACAAAAACAAAAATTAATCAAAATTAAACAGATTCAAACAAACAGATTTAATAGATTCCAAAAATTAATCAAAAATTAATCAAAATTAATCAAAAACAGATTCCAAAAACAAACAGATTTAATCAAAAATTAAACAGATTCCAAAATTAACAAAAACAAACAGATTCATAGATTTTAAATAAAACAAACAGATTTCCAAAAATTAAATAATCTGAATTCCAAAAATTAATTAAACTAAGATAAAATCAGAGATGAGATATCAGATTCACCTGTGATGTGAAGTAGATCGGCTGTGCAGTGTTCAAAATCGGTTGCTGCAATGAGAAAAAAATCAGAGATCACCTGCGAAGAGTAGATCGGAGATGAAAAAAATCATAGATGAAAAAATCTGTTCCTTTTCTGTTGTTCATCCACGATCGAGAGAGAGAGAGAGAGAGAGAGAGAGAGATTGGAGAGAGAGAGCTCACCTTTGAAGCAGATCGGCTGTTGATGAGTAAAAAAATTCAGAGATCACCTGCTAGATCACCTGTGAAGTAGATCGGAGTCGGAGATGAAAATAATTTTTCTATTGTTCATCCACAACAAATCAACGATCGGACAACAAATCAAGCGATCGGGAGAGAGAGAGACAGAGATTGAGAGAAATAGAGTTCACCTGTGAATGAATGAGTAATCGGCTGAGGAATGAGATGTATCGATCCGCCGATGGTTCTGTGTGTGCACACTGCTTGAACCGAGGAGAAGAGAGTGAGGAAGAGAGTGAGATGTGACTCAGAGAGAGAGTGAGTGAGTGAGTGAGGAGGAGGAGATGCCGATTAGGATTAGATATTAGGGTTTTTTTTTCCTTTTGTTTTGTTATATGAGTGAGTTGGTGAGTGAAAGAAATATGGACGGTTAGATTTGGTTTGGAAGGAAAAAAAAAAAATTAAATTAAATTAAATGCGGGCGGGTTGGGCGGGTGCGGTTCAAACCCGCAACCCGCCCGCAACCCGAAATTCATATAAAATCCAAACCGCACCCTACCCTAATGTGTTTGCGAAACCGCCCACATGCGTGCGGTTCGGTTCGGGTAGGGCGGTTTGGGCGGGTCGGATGACCCTATGGCCAGCCCTAGCAGTTGTAGTGCCAGTTCTTGTCATATCGGATTCATTTTCACAACTAAGGTCAATTGACTTGTCACCATACTTGCATCCCACATTTTCAACCTGCATTGTCATATAATGTTTCAATCTTCGCAATAAAATTTTCTTTATTTGGTGATGATTCTAAGGCTGTCTCATTAGTTTCAACATTGCATTGCCTACTTTGTTATTGTCTTCAAAAAATATATTTAAACAACAATATATGCATATAAAAATCAGAGAACAAACAGAAGTTTCTAAAAGAAATAACATTAAGAACGATGCGATTGAAGCACAAACCCTTCATCAGAATTGCCATTCACAAGCCTTTCAAATTGCATGTTCTCAAATCTTTTGACTATTTCTTTCAGTTTCTTCTGTTCTGTATCTACCTTATAATCAGCAGAATGAGATTTCCTCGCCTTTGGCATATCAATTTCAAACATAGGCCTTCTCTGAAAGGAAATCTTTTTACTCTCCAACTTTTTCTGGGGACTAATCTGCACGGTTTCTGAGGGAATTTCTTCCAAACCCATAAGCTTGGCAATCAAATTCGAGCCTTTTGACTTGTGAGGAGCATTTGATTTTAGTGAACTATCAGAAGAGGCAAAGCCTTGGAAGGACTGGCTTGAGCTAGTGGAGGCAATATCAGTACCCGAGTCCAATGTTCTTTTATCACAGTAAGCCTTTTTTTCAGTGCAACTGGGCAGCAAAAGATTTTGCCTAGCAAGACCATCTCTGATCACAGTCCTAAGCTCGTCAAAACAATCCCTCGAACACCCATCAGCAGAAAATCCCAGTTTCTCAAATCCCATTTGGGAATCATGATCTTGGAAGTGATGGGATTTTGTTCTTTCAATCCCCACTTCACCAATTCTGTCTCCCCTGGATTTTTCCTTTCGATTTTCCCACAACTTATCTTGTAGTTTTCCAAGCATGATCAAAGACCCTTGCAAATCAAGAGCTCCTTTCAACAAATCTTTCGCAATTTCTTTAGAATGCCCATCAATTGTCATCCCCACAGACCACGGGTTATGTGAATCTTCTTCTGTGACATTTTTTGAGCCCATCTTCATTGATTCTTCTTTGAATGCAGAAGAGGAATTCAAATTCCTAGGATTTCTTCGACTTTTGCCTTTTTCATCTGATCTGTTAGGATTGGTTTTGGATTTTCTGATCGTTTTACATTCAATTACGCCTTTTGGATCATCACATATGACAAATGATCTGTACACAGCCGATCTCAGACCGTCTTGAGGCATATTCTATGGTAGAAAATTCCATTGAAAAAGTCAGATTCTGCTAATGCAACACAAACCAAGTCCAAAGATGTAACTAAATTTTGCATAAAATACTAACAAAATTATGTATATTTAAAAAGAGATGCTGTGTGCAGTTGGGATGAAAACTACGCTGAAAAAGACCATGAACAACAGATTTTAGTAAATCAACCTCAAACCAGTTCAATAACCATCTTAAATATTTTTGGCATTTTATATTGACTTATGTTCTATTTTTTTAAGCATGGAGTGTATATTAATTTTAAAAAATTGTTATTCCTTACCCATTAATTCTCATTTCATAAGCTAAATATGATCCTTTATCCAACTCAATGTACCTAGTAAAAAATGAAAAATGATATCCACACATCAAATTCCAAATAATTGTTTCTTAGTCAAATAAATTATTCTTATATGGAGTGTGATAACTTTGAGAGTTTTTGGAGTCTACTAAATTTGCTGAGCAAGGTTTTCTTTTTATCAAGAACATGTGAAAGAGAGAAAATTCTAGCGAGTTCGATTTTGCGCAATAATAAAATATTCACTAAAAAGATATCCTCTGACATACTGATTCATGGTTCTTTGAAAGCTCAGCTTGCTTCCTTTGACTTCATGAGTGCTTCCAACCGACAATTATTCTATCCTTTGATTCACATACCTTGGAATTCTTTGATTTGTTTGAGAAAAGATGAATCTTCCGCAGCTCCATAAATTCTTTTTCATTGAATTTACATGATCTCCATTTATTTATCTAAAATTATCATTGAATCATTTTCAACAAAACAACTAGTGTTTTAATTTACATGATCTCTATTTATTAATTAATTTGCTTCCAATTGGGAATCTTAGTTATTTCTCCAACCCAATATATGTTGCCATAATTTTGTTTACCTTGTGTATAGATGAGTCAGCAACAAAATGATGCATATTTCACCAACTTGATGAATGATGGGACTGATTATGAATTTATGGATGAACCTCTTGACCAAGGGGATCAGTCTTCCCCAATCTCTCCTCAAATAGAAACCACCAAGAAACCACAACGAGGTGGCAACTTCACTACAGAAGAAGACAGTATGCTCATATCGGCGTGGCTTAACATTAGCTTAGATCCAGTGCAAGGGAATGAACAAAAATCAAAGGCTTATTGGCTAAGAGTGTGGGAGTATTTCCACCAGTACAAAACTTTTTCATCTAATCGTAGTCAAACTTCTTTAATGAACCGTTGGTCAGCAATTCAACTTGCCACGAATAAGTTCAGTGGGTGCTTCGCCCAAATCCAAAGGTTGAATCAAAGTGGAAAGACTGACAAAGATAAGGTATTAATGCCATTGAGTTTTTTATACTTATTATCATTGGAATTGTCTAATCTCATGATAATTAGTGTTCTTTTATCTATTATTCAGATTCTTGATGCGAAGAAATTATACAAAGAGTTGTACAAATCGTCATTTCCATTTGAACATTGTAGGCATGAGTTAAGAGATCAACAAAAATGGCGAGAAGAATATAGCATGAAGAAACAAAAACCAAAAAAAGTGGCAACTCCCGGCGTTTGTTCTCCTAGTGCACCGGATTCAATCAATTTAGAGGACAATGATGTTTCACATAATGACAATGTAGACTTGGAAAGACCACCGGGCAGGAAAGCTGAAAAGGAACGTTTGAATAAAAGAAAGAATAAAGACCGTGGAAATGAAGGAGGGTCACATATTTTAATATTATTAGAGGATTTAAAGGAAGATAGAAAGAAAATGAATGACAAGAAAATAGAGATGTATGAAAGGTCGTATCTTCAAGAGCAAGAAAAGATTGATAATGAGAAAAAGAGGACGCAAACGGAACAAGAAAAGGTTGATAATGAGAAAGAGAAGATACGAATGGAACAATTGAAGGAGGAAGAGCGAATAATGTCAATAGATACAAGTGGTCTGCCGTCATTGCAAGCAGAATACCTTCATCGCCGCCAAATGGAAATTCTCCAAAAAAAGATTTAGTTGTTGGAACTACCCAAAAAAAATTTAGTTGTTGGAACTATGTTTTTCACTTTATTTATTGTTGGATTTGATTCTCCATTGTAGGCAGAACTATGTTTTTTATGCAGTTTACATTCAATTATTTATTATATGTTAAAAGTTTTTTGGAACTACCTACTGTTGAATGGTTGAACTATTAGTAATTTAATTACTGAGTGGAATTCTCGTTGAATGCTTGCTGAAGTACTCCATGGCTAAATATAATTCTTATTGTATGTTGGATTGGAGTGATTTTTATTTACAGGACATTTCTATTTGTAATCAGCAAGGTTTAACCCATAACTAATCCTAAAAAAGATATTTCCTGAAAAATAATAATAAATACTCCTGCGAAGAAATTTATGAAGTAAACATGAATAAAACCTCATATTCATTGGTCAATATATAATTAACATATACATCTTCAAACTTCTCCCTTCCTAAATTGAGCAAGTACACTTCTATGGTTTCGACTCCGATCTCCTTTGAAACCCCATCCCAGACAAATACATGTAAGTTAGAAACACAACCACCATATTTCAGCTTCCTCTACAACATATCAATTGATTTTGTTGAGTAATCGACACCTTCAACCCACAAATCCTCGCCCATCAAACAATTCTCTTGAGATAGAATGAATTAGAACTTTTTTGGTAGCATTTATATTAAAGCTCAAATGGAGAAACAATGGAGACTGGCACTGGTTAGCTTCTTCAGATGATTTGGTGAGGTTTTCTTGTTGGGTAGTCTGTGGTATAACATTGCAGACAGAACTCTGGTGGCTATCATACTGGTCTGCAATTAAAAAGACATAAAAAGTCCCATAAAAATCAATACAATTGAACTGCATATTGCAAATGCAAGTACCTATGTATGCACCCTAAGGTAGAGTAATGACTCGCCTTATATGTGTGTATATTTTCAATCCAGTTATAGATATAGAATCCCATATGCAGACATTAAAATAGCAGTACCCTTTTCCATTTTTCTTTTTCCTGTACTTGTGAGAACGCTATGCAAAGAAATGATATAAGTTACATCCAACAGCTAGTGACGGGTAAGGTGGGCTTAGAACTTTGAACCATAATTGTAATACAGTTTTCTTGCCCTGAAGACACTCGGATAAGAGACAGTCCTCCTCCATGAATTAGTACCTTTTATACTTACAGAATGCATACATGTATGCGAGAGTAGAGAATTCACTTCATTACTAATTCTCATAATGTAAAAAATTCAAATCTAAGAATGTGCCATACCTTTACTCTGAAATTCAGAGGAATCCGTCCTTTCTTTAGGAAGGAGTTGATCTGCAGTTGTAGTGCCAGTTCTTGTCATATCGGATTCATTTTCACAACTAAGGTCAATTGACTTGTCACCATACTTGCATCCCACATTTTCAACCTGCATTGTCATATAATGTTTCAATCTTCGCAATAAAATTTTCTTTATTTGGTGATGATTCTAAGGCTGTCTCATTAGTTTCAACATTGCATTGCCTACTTTGTTATTGTCTTTAAAAAATATATTTAAACAACAATATATGCATATAAAAATCAAAGAACAAACAGAAGTTTCTAAAAGAAATAACATTAAGATTGTAAAAATTGAATGCTAGGACTCACAACAGAATTAGCTGCCAAGGGCTCCTTGCTTGGCTTCTCATTATTCAGATTCTTTTCCCGATCACCACGATTACACGATATGGCTGGTGTTGTATGTTTTGAATTGCCGCTTGAGGAGGTGGATTTTTGCTGGGAAATATAGCTTTTTGCAATGATTGACCCCGTCTCAGGTTTTCTTTGTTTTGTGGAGGTCACTTTGGCTTCATCATGGGACTTAGAAACAGCTTTGGATTTCACTTTCTCCATTTCTTCTGGTTTCTTTGCTCGCAGTGCCACCTTCTGTATCCTATCAACTTTCTTCCCAATCACTTTCTTTCAGTTTCTTCTGTTCTGTATCTACCTTATAATCAGCAGAAATGAGATTTCCTCGCCTTTGGCATATCAATTTCAAACATAGGCCTTCTCTGAAAGGAAATCTTTTTACTCTCCAACTTTTTCTGGGGACTAATCTGCACGGTTTCTGAGGGAATTTCTTCCAAACCCATAAGCTTGGCAATCAAATTCGAGCCTTTTGACTTGTGAGGAGCATTTGATGAGAGTGAACTATCAGAAGAGGCAAAGCCTTGGAAGGA